CCCCAAAACCCCAAAACCCCAAAACCCCAAAACCCCAAAACCCCATACACCATAAGCTGTATTGATTTGTAGAATATTTTTAATAATGAGTGGTTGGGTAAAAGACATCAACAATCTGAAGTTAAAAGACACCTGCATTACTGATGACATGGTCTCTGAGGTTGAAAAAGAAGGTAAGATTGCTCACATGTTTTGCGGGTATAAATTATCCAAACAGGATATAAATTTTAAATAGATTACTTATATTACTATGTGGATCCAAAAGTGCAGAGTCCCAAGCTTATGAAGTACTATAATCCTCCAGATGAAATCATTTTGATACACCACAGTACAAAGAACATCGAAAGGTTGATTTATCCTCCAGAAGGCCCTTATTTAGAGCAAGAAGAGGAGAAATACGATGGGTTCCTCGACTTTTTGGCCAATAAAGGAGAAGAGCTACCAGAGGCACTGAACAAGAGGAGGACTCTCAGATTCTTGGTAGCTAACAACTGGAACTACAAGAAAACCCATAAAAACATTCTTAAGACAGTCGAATGGAGAGAAACGGTGCACCCTGTGATCCTGAATGACAATATGAAAGAACTTTTGGATAATGGATACATGTACATTCATGGAAGAGATAGGCATTTTAGGCCACTCTGTTTTTCAAATACTAAAATGATCACTGAATTAGGAGTTGGAATCGACGACTGAGTCTCTATGTGCTGGTTCATGTGCTTCTATCTAATCGAGCAACTTTGTGTCCCTGGCAAGGTTGAGAACTGGCTTTTTATTTCAGACCTTGGAGGACTCTCTTTGTCCAAACTACCTTCCAAGCATATCAAGAAGTTTACTCTGGAAGCGCAAGATCACTTGAAATGCAGAATTAGGAAATTCTTTTACTTTAACACTACCTTAGGATTAAGAGTCATTTATGCTTTTATCTCTCCTTTCCTTGATAAAGCCATCAAAGAAAAGACATGCATGGTCAAGGAGCCTTACTGTGATGAATTACTTGAGTTTGCTCATCCATCTCAGGTAGAAAAGAGGTTTGGGGGAGATGCTGAAGATGTTGAGGTATTTTGGCCTCCATTCTGCCCTTCTGACGAATACGATCACGACCCTGATGATATTGAAGACCATGAGCCATCAATCGAGAAAGTAGAGAAAAAGAGGAGTAAGAACTATACCCTTTCGTTCTAATATAGTTTAGAGTCAAGCAAAAAGAGTAAGAAATCAAAGGTTCAGGTATGCCAATACTAATAATTCTTTAGAAAGGAGAGGAAGCCCCAGTAGAATCAGCACCAGCTCCACAGACCTTTGCTACCTCAATGGATAAACAAAAGGAGATCACCAAGGAAAGAATGTCCAAGAGACCAGTCCCAAAGAATACGAAAGACAAGGGCTGCACTTGCACGATATTTTAAATTTGGGCTGATTTCGCAATAATTCAACCTATAAAAATAAAATAGGGGTTTTGGGGTTTTGGGGTTTTGGGGTTTTGGGG